GGAGGCTATTCCTGCTGTTAATGCGAACCTGTTTAGCTGACTTAGAACAAAAGTTCATCCAGAGGGTGGGATCACAAAGGTGTTCCATGCTCATTTTGTGGGTCAGAAGGTGAATAGTTTGGGAACCACTGGTTTAGACAAAACAGAAGGACTGAAAAATCTATCGATCTGATATGAATATTGGAAATCAGAGTATCGGATTATATCGGCTTGCAGCTAAAATCTAACAGCAGTGCTTGTATCCCACACACAGACCCACTGGTTGATAATAAATGGGTCAGTTGTCCTGATGCCCATTGCTGTTGACTGTTGTTCTCTGTTCGAGTGATTTCATTTAATAGAGTCTTTTCTGACAATCTACACTACAAAATAAGCAATAAAAAGATGCATGATTTCTACTGATAATGTATCGAGTTATTATCAGTATTAGACTCAAATATATCAGTATAACACCCCTAAAAAGGTTATGCTGTTGGGCATGACACTGGAGATATGAGTAAGGTTAAAGCCAAGCACAATTTTCAATGTTTTCTAAAGAGTTAAACAGGAACAATCAGACAAAGCAGAAGGAGTTAAGCAAAAATGTCCAAGAACATTCAGAGTTAGAAGGAATAGCTGCTTTAACGATAGCCTGCTGCTGTTATTACAGCTCAAAGAAGCAACAAAAAAACTACTGACAGATTTCTTTTATGTGCTTCAAAGTGAAGACAAACCTGGAGTCTCTCCAACAGGGTGTCAGTGCCATACGGATCCAGGCTGAGCCGTTCTGGCATTCCTCAGGAAATGCTGACACTGTCCAGAGCTTCTCTTACATCCGTCGCAGCACAGTTGCCAGAAATTTATATTTCTCTCCTCAGTTCTTTATGCATGTGGTGTTACCATGTAAATGGCAGAGAGGATTCGTATTCTGACATAGAAGGGTCAAACGTTTTACAGAACATTACCTGAAGAATGTAAAAGGAGCTTTTCTCTAACATTTGCAGACCTCTGTGTTTGGAAAGTCTGAAATCAAGTTTCACAATCCCACTCTTCCCCACATCTTTAATTTGCCCCAGATGTGAGTCAGACTCCAGTTTACTGCTCAGCTCCACAGAGAAGAAACCAGCATTCTTCAAACAGGCTTCAGAAAGGCTCCTTAAAGAATTAACTACGACTTTTACATGTTATCACTGGGCTGCGTCTCAAGTCAGGCTTGGTTCCAAAATGAACTTCCTCCAAACCCTTCATCCCATTCATCCCTTTATAGAGACATCTATTTTATATCCCACATGCCCTCTGTTTTTATGATCTGTTTGTATCCCATTCACTAGTTTTAGGGCTTGGCAATAAACCAATTTTATTGACAAAATCAAATTTTCAGTTTCATCAGTGAGATTTTGTAGTTCAGAGTCCACTGCTATTCACTCCACTACCACAGATAAGAAACTCCTCATCAATAAACCTGTGAATATTGCTGTGGGACTCATTCATGGGAATGATGAATCAACACACACACACACACACATACACACACACACACACGCACACACATACACATATATATATATATATATATATATATATATATATATATATATATATATATATACACACAGAGAGAGAGAGAGAGAGAGAGAGAGAGAGAGAGAGAGAGACAACAACTTAAGGCTCAATGTGGTCAAAACAACAAAACAAAGGAAATGGTCAATGATGAAATTCCTTGGGTACAGACAGCTGATGCCATCAACTGGTGCAGTGATTCCCCTAGTGGGGGCATACAGTCATTGCAGTAGAGGTCATGGTATGAATAAAAACATGAATGCTTGGGCACTGCAAGCATAATGCACATGTTTGTGATAGAGCTCCCACAAAAACGCAAAGCAGAAGATGAGGCATCTCCATATCTGCTTCCAAACCAACTTCCTTCCAAGCCAAAGAGTGGAAAACATGAAGAAGGATGTCTTTCCTTTGGCTTCACCTGCACAATGGTGAGCACAGTGTGTAGTCTGTCTTAAAGTGCTCGCCTGTGACAGTTTGAAGCCTTACAAGCCAAGATAAAACAAAGCATCAGTTGACTATTTCAGACAAAAACTTGTAAACTGCTGAGCTCAGCAGTCCTGGCAAATTCTCAACTCTGCTCCTGTAAGGTTTGCCTACAGAGTGGGACAATGTAAAAAGCTGCACACAATTGAGGAGAACTTAATACTTCACTGTGCTATGGATACTGTTTGAACAATGATTGATGACACAGCAGCCAGTATCACTGCAGGCTATTCCTCTGTCCAATAATACCATCAACAAGTCAACAGACATAGAGGAGCAGTTAGATGATAAGGTGCGTGGCAACCGCTGTTCTCTGAACAGATGGATGCAGCCACTGACAGTAACAAAGACTGCTGATTGACAACTTGTCTCAGACTCATAGATAGAGATGAGAGAACTTGTTTCTTTGCAAACAAGTTCTTTTTTTTACTCCAAAGAGCTCTGTAAAAGCCTGGATTTTTTTGGCCGAACATACAGCGGTTCAGTTTGGACAGTCTTTAGACTGTCAGATGAAATCCGCATATTTAAACCAACTTCCTCATGAAGCTGATGCGCCTCAGCGATGTGTTCCTGAAACTCAATGAGCTGAATCTGCAGACGCAGAGCACAAACACACATCTCCCACATCTGACAGGTAGAGTCACATCATTCATCGGAAAACTTAGGAAGTGGCAGCAGCCAGTGAAGGATGGAAATATGGATTTGAGAATCTGAAATTGTTCACTAAAGCTGAACACAGCATGAAACAACATGTTTCATCCTAGGAAACATCCCAGGAAACATCCCAGGAAATGGGATGTTTCCTGGTGCAGGATTCCAAACCACCACCTGCTGACTTCAGCTCCTCAGAGGAGGAACGGCTTATTGATCTCACCTCTGATTCAACAAAGAGGCAGCAGGTTAAGTTAAAGACTCTGGCTGCATTTTGGATTGAAATAGAGAAATATTACCCTCTGCTAGGTGAGAGCAGCCTGGCCATATTTCTTCTTTTGCTGCATCCTACCCTCAAATAACACATCCTAGATCTGAATGAATGAAATATTCTCATTGAATACTTTGTTCTGTACAAAGTTGAATGTGCTGACAACAAAATCACACAAAAATCATCAATGGAAATCAAATTTATTAACCAATGGAGGCCTGGATTTGGAGCCACACACAAAATTAAAGTCAAATGTTCCCTTTATTTTTTTGAGCAGTATATTTTCTGTCAACCCAAACTAGATATCAAAGTTATACAGTGCGAAAAAAGCTCAGAGTTACAGTCTCACAACTGCAACCCAGGTTTTTGAAAAGATTCTGCAGCAACAGGCAGGTGTGAGGATTAAAGATGGTATTTCTGCACAACAGACATATTTTTTTTTGCTCTCAGGAGTTGTTCATATTGATGAAGTTGTGCTAATTTTTGGAAAAATTTGTTTATTGCAATATCGAATGGCTGAACAGTGGTGCAGTTGGTAGAGCTGCTGCCTTGCAGCAAGAAGGTTCTGGGTTTGATTCCCAGCCTGGGGTCTTTCTGTTCTCCCTGTGCATGTGTGGGTTTTCTCCGGGTACTTCGGCTTCCTTCCACAGTCCAAAAACATAACTGTCAGGTTAATTGGTCTCTCCAAATTCTCCCTAGGTGAGTGTGTATGTGCATGATTGTTTGTCTCTGTGTTGCCCTGCGACAGACTGGTGACCTGTCCAGGGTGACCCCGCCTCTTGCCCGTAACGTTAGCTGGAGATAGGCACCAGCAACCCTCCTGACCCCACTAAGGGACAAGGGTGTACAGAAAATGGATGTTCAAAAATAAAAATACAAAAATGTAGGCTTGTGTGATATATCAGCACTGCCATCAGTATCGGCTGATACTGGGGGCTGACTAACTGTTCCTGGGGGGAAGTGGAGGAAGTTGTTCATGTGATATTTGTTTTGGTCATGTGATGCAGTGCAGGATTGTGAAGAGATTAGCTGAAACAGTGGGGAAGTCAGCGGTGTGTTCAGTTTTTTAAGGTGTAAAAAGAGTAGTGAAATACATATAATATGAATAATAGCGGTATTAATATCAGATATCAAATTTTGACATGAAAGTTTGTTGTTCTGTTATTTAAAAGTGGTTATAGTCTATTTTATAACATGTAATTTATTGCAGTTTACTTTATTTCAGAGCAAAGATTGAGATGGGAAATAAATTGCAATGGAGTTTGAAAACAAAATGTGTCTGAGTGTGACATGTAGGAGGTTGTGTGTGAACCAGGGGGCGCGGAAAGATTTCCTTGTAAAACCAGTGACCTGCCGCTTCATATTCCAGCATCCTCAGAGGAAGGAGAGACTCCTGACTATCAGCCTTCTGAGCTGCTGCCATCAGAGAATCTGTACAACACCAAGAGCAAAACCAACCACATGGCTGCCCAGCATCCTGTAAACATGCTGAACTGCTGCTGAATTATGCATTTATTACTGCTATCATAATCCATCTGTCAAAGACTGTCGGGAGCCTTATTGCTTTGTTTTCATTTATCTACATTTAATGGGTTTTAAAGCTGTTACATATCCCAGAGAAATGCTGTCCATTTTGTTGTTTACAAAAAAAAAAAAAAAACCCTCGGTAACTAATTTGAACTAAACATATTTAAGATCTTTGGAGATGAACTGACTGATTCTTATCGGATCTATTTACTGTTCTGCTTTGTTGTTCAGACAGATGAATGAATCAATCAGGAAAGTGAGTTTCTCATCAGTCTGAACGCAGAAAGCATCAAGAAACAACTGAATAAAGTTATCAGCTGCAACCTCCTACCTGGAAACATCATGACTTTTACTGTTGTGTTCTATTATTTTCATAAGTCCACTCTAGTTGATTTATACAAGTTTAGTTGTAGTCTGTTTTCTACTTCCGGGAAAAAATGCTGGCACCCAGCCATTCACACTAAACGTCATTCAGTAAAACTTCGAGTAAAATCAGACAAATGATCCTCACTGGCCCCCCTCGACTCACCGCCAGCTCATGCTTCCTTTCCGGATGGCTTTCCACTGCCGCCGCCTGCGCTGTGGCCGCGTCGCCCCCGCGGCTGCCGCCCGGAGGCTCCGTCAGTCTCTCCAGGCACGCAGACCCCAACGAGGAGCTCTTGTGGTGGGACTGAACCAGCTGAGCCACCGTGGATTTGCTCGCGCCGGTGGACTTGCGCTTGATGGACGAGTGGAGCTTCTCCCGGCCGAGCAGGGAGCTGCTCCCGGGAGGTTTGCTGCAGAGCGGAGCCTCCTGCGGTTTCACGTCCGTCACCTCGGCGGAGAAGACCAGGTCGGGCTGCGAGGAAGAGATAACCCGGTCCAGAGCGACGTTCTTCTTCCGCTTAGTCTTCTTGAACATCCACATGCTCCTCTTGCTCTGCTCGTCCGGCTCTCGGCCGCCCAGCTTGGGACTGAGAAGCGGCTTAGCCTTGGCTTGAAACTGTTTCCACACCGAGCCGCTCTCATTCTCGTCCCCTTCGCTCCCCTCCATCCTCCTGAACAGAGCTCCGACGGACGCTGCTGCTCTGTCGACTTACGCAACCAGTAATAGAAAAAAAAAAATGCCCGCACTACACCGAGAGCAACCCGCTGAAACACGGATGTGCAGGCTGGGCACTCTCAGCTGCACAGCTGGCTGCCGCTACCTGATTTACCGTTTCACCCCGAAGCTTATCACACTCTGTTCACAGTTACAACACAGAAACGCGTTAAACTGATCTGAAGTCAGGTCTGGTTAATCTGCAACAAGGCACTTCAAACTGCTTGACACCATTAAAACATAGCACACTGTGAAACCAGCGATAAAAATTACATTTTGTCAAATGCCATCATCAAAATCATCAAGCACTAGGTCAGTCAGTGTTCCAGTTATTGATCAAAGGCAGCTCTAAACAAGTGGCCTTGGTTTAAAGAAGCTCAGTCTTTCGGCATCTTTGCAGTTTTCTAGATGTTTGTTGCAGATTTGTTGTGCAGCTGAATGAAGAATTTTAGGCGTTTCCACAACGGAAGCCTGTTCCAGATCCCGTTCGGTCTGGGACCATTATTACAGTGAAAGGGGCGGTGTTATGTCAAAATCGACGTGCTGTTTTGGAGATTTACAGAATGTTATGATGTTATTCCCTCATCAAAAACATACCTGTACTGTTCCCTTGATTATTTCATGCATGTTTGAGAAATACTTTAATCTTCCGTGGCAACCATTCAGCTGTGCAAATCGCCTGCTTGCACCGAGCTGCGCCTCTAAGGCACATGTACAAATATCTTCAATGTTTATAGATCATTTTTTGAATTTTTTTTCACCCTCCACATAAGGGAGGGCGGCGCGCCAGCGCCCCCTATGGGCCAGCCGCTCAGTTAACGGTAATAATTAAGCAAGTAATGCTGAAAACATCATTAAAGTTATAGACCTACAACATCTCTCAAGTGAAAACAGAAAATGCAAACTGCTGAAACAATTCTCACATTATTTTTATTATCATCACAAAATTTAAAAACACAGTCTGATGAGCCACAGAAAGAAAAGAAAGCCTTTACAAAAAATGTCTTGCAGTCCTGAGTGCTGGAAAACTCTCCTGTTGTCAGGAAGTTCAGTAAACATTTGTTTTCTGATTGGATTCCTCTGGCTATATTTCATTTCACAAGATTTACCTTCTTGTTTACAAAGCATTACAATTCCCCAGAAGAGTACGACAATGAAGTGTAGAAAAGCAGTGAGATTAAATATCTAAATTTTCAGGAACTGAAAAGATGAAGGTTTGTGGAAACATTAGATTTATGTTGATGTCAATTATTACTTGTAAGAAACATAAAAGGAGATTATAGTCACACTAGCCTTTCTTCCAATGACTGTAATATTGCTAAAATTGGAATAACAAAAATTAATTTGTTTAATGGAAACAAAGCAATTTCAAAAACAAAATGCTAAGCAGTCTTTGAGTGAGGATGATTAGGTTTTTCAGCTATTAGTTTATTTTGCATCACATGACTCATGTGATCAACAACAGGAAGTTAAGACTATAAAGACAGCAGGAAGTAGCTGGACAACATGTGTCAAAGATTTGATTACTGAGTAAAGTTTGCCAGCATAGAAACATTTAACAATCTTCATAAAATGTAATTAATTCTGATGTTTTGATTTATTCCCACTGGGAAGTTGGGAAAAACTCCGACTCTCTCCAGTTGATACTTGTAAGGCCGACTTTACATTTCAATACGGACGCTCCTCAGTAAGCTGTGGTGGAAACATGTTTATTTCATGAGACACACATCAGGGTTTCCCCCAGTGTATTATAAGCCTGGCGGCCCNATCTATGGACATGAGTTTTGGGTCATGACTGAAAGAACGAGGTCCCGGATACAAGTGGCTGAAATGAGTTTCCTCCGCAGGGTGGCTGGGCTCTCCCTTAGAGATAGGGTGAGAAGCTCGGTCATCCGGGAAGGACTCAGAGTAGAGCCGCTGCTCCTCCACATCTAGAGGAGCCAGTTGATGTGGCTCGGGCATATGGTAAGGATACCTCCTGGATGCCTCCCTGGTGAGGGGTTCCAGGCACGTCCCACCTTTTCTCATGTGTGTGTTAATGTGTTTGTGTGTGTCTTAATTATTGTGGATCTGGATGTTTATTTGATAGTTTTTCTAAGCTGTTCCACCAGCTTTGTAATATCTTAGTTCTTGAATCTGTTAGTAACATGATTCTGTAACAGGAATTTAAAAGACTTTAATACCATAATGACATAAACTGACCTCCTTTTTCAGTGATTCCTCAGAGGAAACTGACTTCTCTCTTGCTTCAGCGCTAACTAAAAGCCTTGGTCTGTTCAGGTGAGGTTGAGCATTTTACACTTGCATATGTCATTTGCTGAACATGACAACAGATTCTTTCCTGACTTATTGGTAAGAACCTTTCTCTTGTGCAGGTTCTTGAAGTTTCTAAATCCTGGCAGAGGCAATCAACTGGGAGACATGGACGTGAGATCACTTAAAAATCTCAATTATATTATATTTATATTTAATTTTAGGAATTGATCAAGATGTTAACTTTCCTTGAGGCATTCTACAGTTATAATTAAAAGATGTCTGGATAATTAAGTATGAATTTAATAAAAATGGATTAAAAGATTTAACCAAAATAGAAAATTCTTTCAAAAATCTAATTGTAAAACTCTGAAGTATTTCAACATTGTTTACATCCCAAGTCTCAGTTGGGAATTCTGATTCGCAAAGACAATTGTAAAAGTGAGCATCAAGAGAAAACTGATGTTTCGATGTGGTTGGTGGACATACAGATTTGTACAGATCCAGGTGTGAATTCTGACCATGGTGTGTGTCCTGTTCAACAATCTGGCAGAGCCAGCAAAAGGAAAAAAAAAAAAAAAAACTTATAGTTTTCCTTCCAACAAATTCAGTAAGTTGAGAGGCTATTGCAGGCAAATAATGTTAGCTAAATGGTCACTAATAATTATATCCTAGTTTATTATGTTAAGACTAAGAAGAAGATTAAAAGGATGTTGTTGCCTAACATCTTTTGCTTTTTAGTGCCAGGCATAAACCATCTTTAATTTAAGTACAGAAGTTGGGATTACTGTTCTTCCCTCATTTAAAATAAATCCTTATTGCCTCAATAGAAAGAGCAAAGCCAGGAAGGAGACGTCAGGCCAGAGGCCAGATGTAGGGGTGATGACACAGGATCTTCACAGGTAAAGAGAGATTATAACTTGCTGAGAAAAAGATATATGGCCTGATAAAAATTCTGTTAAAAAAAGTTTTTACATATATTTCAGAAGTGCTCTTTCACACTCGAAAATATTTTCTTCTCTGATTTTTTTCTTCTTTTTTTCTTCTCTGATTTTTCTTCTCTATAGGTAGCACAGACAGAAGGTCAAGTGTAGTTTGCATTTAGACATTTTTATTTATTTTTCAACAGTTCCATCAGGTGTTTACTATTTGCTGCTGGTGAGTGTGAAGGAGCTGAGGGGACGGCTGCTCTGTGAGACAGAAGCTCGGAAGCTTGAACACTGCAGCTTGAAAGTGGTGCTAGGTCCAACCAGGCACTTTGCACAGCTCAAAGTGCCTGGTTGGGAAATTAAAGGATTTCTCAAACATGCATGAAAGAATCAAGGGATATATTTTTGATGAGGGAATAACATAACATAATGCAAAGCTCAAAAAGTCAATTTTACATAATAATGCCCCTTTAAGCAATTCCCCCCCAATAAATTTTAAATTGACACTGAATATAGTAAAGCCAGCACTTTTCTTTTTGCACCAGCATCCTGCATGTTCAAACTTCAATTTATTGATACAAACCTCATTGAAGTTGACCCAGGTACTGACTCAGGAACACCATACCATTTGGATAGAATTTTTCTTATCCTTCATACTTTTGACAGTTCTGGGAGTTTCTTTCCCGCACTAATATGTTGAATCATGTTTACTCAAAGCTTGTGCTGTTAGAAGAGTTAGGTTTGGTTGGTTTGTCTCTCTTGCAGGTGGAGAAGAATGATGACCTGAACAACTGTCAACCTGAGATGACTGAACTGTCTGAAACTGGCACTGAACAAGAGCAGGATGCTGCCAGCATGTTCTCAGAAACTAAGTAGCCATTCTTATTATTCTTATCAGTTAGTGAGAGCTGTTCTTTGTTTTTATTTTTGTTTTTACATTTACAGTCTTATTGATGTATGCAGAGCATTATAAGTAAGCTTACTTATAATGCTCTGCACACATGCTATTGATGTATGCAGAGCATTATAAGTAAGCTTACTTATAATGCTCTGCACACATCAATATCAATTGTTTCAAACACATCAATTGTTTTTACTTAATTTAAGGTAATTCAATCTGCAAATTGATACAATAAATAAATACAATTGATAGAAATGTTTGGATAAGCTTTGAAAATATTTTCTGCATATTTGTTGCAGAAGAGCATCTTTCTTTCTGCCAAAGCAGTTCAAGTGTATCTTTCTTTTATTATGTTTTTAAATTACAAATAGCCCTAAAAGGACATTAATGCACATAACATTTACAGTAAAGAATAACAAAGATAATTTATATTGATAAATTACTGTATTTTCTTTTATTATGCTTTTAAATTACAAATAGCCCTAAAAGGACATTAATGCACACAATTACAGTAAAGAATAACATAGACAATTTATATTTATCAATTATTGTATTTTGAACAAATTTAATGCTACATAATGGAGATGATTCAACTTTTTTTTATTTTCAAAAACTGTATTAGAGATAAATTGACTTGTTAGAAAAATGTACATGTTCAAAAATTGATCATTTTAGGGACTCTTTTTAAAGTTGTTGGATCCTGAAAATTTGGTTCGGCCATACGTCCCACCGTTAGCTTCAGGCTGGTAATGTAAATTAACAGCCTTTGTTAACAACCTCATGTTGTTCAGCAGGTTTGGAGAGAGATTTTCAGAACTCAGTTCTCTGAAATCTCGTTTTATGAGTGCCAACATTCAAACGGCCATATTTTGTTCATTATTACCATGTGTTTGACATAATTGGAAAGCTCACAATCCACACTTTGACAATCTGTAAATAACTCAAAACGCCCCTTCACGCTTTTGCCATGGCCAGTCACATTTATTTGCTAAACTATATATTGTATGAATAATTAATTTATCAAGCTATCTCTGTATCTATCCTTAATTAAGGCAAGTTTGGTCCTTGCCTTAATCAAGGCAAGGCCGGTAACAGTCTTGTGTGCTTCTTTTTAGTAAAAAAGAAACACGAGACTGTACCTTTTATTTAGTCACGCAACAAGAGCCAGCCAATGACTAGTTCTGAAGTCCTGATTGAACTTGAAGAAATCACTCATGTACTGCAGGTCCCTATGCACCCATGCTACTGTGCATCTTAGTCTGTGTTTTATTTGCCCCATCGATTATCACTACACAA